ACAACGGAATGCTGCAAAATACGCTTTACCTGAAAAACAATCTGCCACGACTCCATCTCCGTTATCTTCTCAAAGTTTGGTAGAACGACGGGCGGAAACAGACCGTACCTATGAGAGGTAAACTTTACTCACGGCAACAAAAATAAGACACCATTAGGAATGCCTGGTTAAGCAAATTCTACTGGACATGACATCTAGTATTAAAAAGTATGGAGAAGCCGAACAACAACCCTCGGTACCTGTAGCTCAAATATCTCTTGTCGTGCCAAGCCCCAGGAACATGAGTCACATATGCAGAGATTGCTGCAAAGATCCATCAGGAGGCCGACATTGCGACCTCTTTTGTTGCAAACTCCGTTGACGCGAATGGAGAGACAAACAGCAAACAATCAACACTTGTCAGCAGGTCAGAACAAACGAGTACCATACCTTGTAGATCGACGAAAAACGGATCCAACAATAGTGCCGGACTGCTGTATGCTCAAATGTTCTTGAATCTACCGCCATCACATTTAAGGATAAGTTTTCAGGCGACCTAGACAAATGGAACTCATTGTGTGTGCTTTTGAGTGTCAAAGCCAAGCCCATAAATTTATTACGAATTACTCATCATCCGAACACGCTACCCTATAGAGAATCCAGACATATTCGTGTAATTTAAAGCAGTTAGTTTCTTTCAACAACTTGAAAAGCACGGAAAGATGACTATGGCTGGTAGGTGCATGCATTCCATACTGTCTCCTCTATAACCTTAACAAACACCGAGATGCACAGAGATAGCTAATGGTGAATGCAATCAGACAAGCTTAAGGTACAGAATGAATGACGGAAGTTCACACATACGTCCATGGCAACTTTAGGTTGACAAATACTTGTTTCTGAACACACAAGTCTGGCTCCATCTGGCTTATAACGACAGCCTCGGAAAACCGAAGATAGCGGGGATTAGTGTAACGTAACACAACTTTAAACTCTGAGCCCAGCTCTATCCGGTGACCCGAGTCTACTAGATATTTGACTATCAAAGAAGCCGGCGGTCTGCGCGATTAAGGAATCTGACGAGAGCAGGCAATCTGAGCAACTTCACGCTGAACCCATCTTGGTACGTACTCCTGTATTCGAGAAGGAAGTGTTCTACTAGTTTTACCCATATATATGTTTCTGCAGTCACATACAAATTGATATACGTAGCGTAAATTGGCCCCAGTAACCTGAGCTTCCTTCGTTGAAAATGTGGGCAAATTTCGAGCTCCTTTGCTGAGGAAAGCTTATGCAGCATAGCAACTCACTTGTGTAATGAAAATTGTACTCTTCGTTTTCTTAAGCGAGACTAAATCACATCTGAAAGGTAACTTGTTATACACTTTCTTCTTGGCTGTCGTGTGCACCAAGTCCTTTTGCAGTCACAGTTGAATGAGTTTCTCCATAAATATTCGAGGGTAGCCTTTAACCATTAATGTTGCTGTAATTAACACTAGCTCATCGTCCAGATAGTCGGCCGAACAAATTCGTGTGGCATCAGTAAATAGGGTCTTCACAAGTGTCCGATTGTACCACACTGGTGTGAAGCTGATGAAGTGCAGGCACTAACCGGACCAAGTTGATGTTCGGTAAATGGACCACTTAATCAATACATCATCCCTGCGACTTATGAGTATGTCCAGGTATGGCAGACAATTGTTCTGTTCTATTTCGCATGTAACCCGTAAGTCAGCATTAGCAAAATTGAGCCGTTCTACCAAATGTGTGAGCTGCTGCTCAGATGAACAGGAAGCCAAGATATCATCGACAAACTTTTTGTTGTGTGGCGATTGGACTATTTCCGTAGGAGTGTTGCTTCCTCCATCAACATAATGAAATCAGGGAGAACAGGATCTAATGGGCTACCTATTGCTACACACTCAATTTGACGGTGTGTTGTATTCCGGAAGTGAATGTCCACATTCCCCGTGCGCAATAGTAGAGATTCTCTCGGTAATTCAGTCGGATTTGGTAGAGAGCAGCCACCGTTTTTCAAGCAATTCGCGCACGTGATGAACCGTTTCATGTAGCGGGACATAGATATATAAGGATTCTACAACCAAGAAATGCATGTCTTCGACTGACAGGTTGAGCTCGTTCAGGTCGTCGATGAGTTGAAACGTGTCTTTAATACTGTACTGATTGAACTGTTGTTTCAGCGGAGCCAGCAACTTCACTAACCAACTAGCGAGTTTAAGCTGGGGCACTTTCATTATTGAAAGTATTGGCCTGAGTGGCAATTCACTCTTTTGTGTCTTTGGAGATTCATACAGCTGTGGAATAGTGCTACCACTCGGCTTCAAACTATTACATTATCATAGTCTAACACGCGATGGAGGAAATGCTATTCCAGGTGACGAACTATGCGCGTTCCGAAATTGGTTATATCCCCCAATTTCGTGAGCAATTCGAATTAATTTGCATCATTAAGTATGACGCACACCTAATTGTATTCGGTGTTGTTCATGAGCATCACTCCTGAACTTTTAGTTGGTTTCATTACCACTATGTCCTTAGCTCGTAGTTCACGAGAATGCTGAAATGTTGAGCGATGATGGCCCACATTTCATTTATTGGCATGGTTTTTACCTCGTATGCGATATCGTTTAACTTGTTTCTAAACCAAATGTGCTTCTCAGGGTTGGTTGGTTGGAGCTCCTTAAACTGGTCAAAAAGTTCTCAAATTGGGCTTCTATAGACAAGTCATCCTACGTTCTTTGGTGAACTTTGTAATCAAGCCGATGTCATAAAACTTCTAATTGCAACGCAATAATTTTAGACTCAACAAATTCATCAAGAACAATTGGTTTCTCCTCCTGGTTGTTCGTCACCGAATTTTCTAAATGGGCAGGGCGATTTAGTCTCGTACGATCAAGAGTTGATTTACAAAAGTTAGTGAAAACAATCCGGCAACACAGAGAGAGATACTTGACCACGTATTTTAAGGGTTCATGAGTAACACTTGGCTCCTCCACCAACCTGGAAAACGTTTTGCTCTCTACAAGCGCGCTAAAACACGGATTCACTTGATAGGCAGCTATACTCTTCTTTTTTAGTGCGCGACAATCGAAGCAACACAGAAGAGCGGCACTGCAAGCAAGACCGACTGAATACAATCTTTGCACATGGCTTGTCAGTTCATCATTCTAAAGATGTTTAAGAGACCGGAAAGCACAGTTTAGAACAGTGGCGCTGCATTCGTGACAAAATTTCTTTAGATAATATTGCGGCGATATGGCGCAACAGGATACTTCTCATATCATGATGCACTCATTCACTTACACATTGTCACATAACAATACATCTCCATCCTACACCTGGAGTTTGCCATGGAATTATTCGATGTTAATAGCGGTGTCGTGAATCTAAGCGGACTGCAGGAACCAGGCGGAGTAAATGATAAGTCCTAATTTTTCTAACTAAATATAAATATTTTACTATCATTTTTGTCTATAGCATTTTCTCGGTATCCCCAGCAACTATCCAAATGGACTCGTAAAGCAACGCATTTTAACCCGTACAATTTAATCGTTCCTTGTTCATTTTTCACTGTATAGCGCAGCCGAATTCCCCCATGGCTCAGTGGCTTAAGCTACTCCCTACTTGCCTCCCTACTTGCCTCTTGCAGCCGTAGGTACGATCTCCAGTAGTGGACAGAAGGAATGTGCACCACTGACGAGCTCCAATAGGGTGAAATCCATCTGGTGGATATTCGGACCAAACTGTGCTATGTAGTTTATAAGCAGTTAGAAAGAAAACATTACAAGTACGTTTAAAATTTCACCGACGCATCGGTACTATAAAGTGTATTCTCGTAATTTCAACTGCTACGAAAGAAGCGTCTAGTGAGAGGATGTCATGACGTTTGGAGGCTAGCCAGTGTCATCTGCTTAGGTAGTAACCTGCGTGGCAGTGGAACACATGTTGCGCTATATCCCAGTCAGCATGTAATTTGTTTAGCCCAACAGTGGTTCCACATGACTCAGTGGCTTGAGCTACTAGCTGGTTGGCCTTTACCTCTATCGATCATGGACTCGATCCCCAGTAGAGGACCGATGAAGTGCGCACCACTGACGAGATCCAATAGAGCGAAACGTGTCTGGCGCTTTCCCGGACCAGTCAGTGCTATATAGCTTATGAGCCGGTGGGACGAAAACAATATAATTTTAATTATTCTTAAATCGCATTTGTTTAATGCGTCCCTAATATGACCTCAAACATTGTGTGCATGTACTTGGTGTGAAAGTTGGCAATTGGATTGTTCCCTATGTAAAAATGCCTCACCTCCTTAACAAACAAACATGGTTTGATAATCTCAAATCTTTTCTCTATCGTCAGTAATAAATCTGGACAATCGAGCGTTCAGAAAACAATTTAAATATATTTACTACTCGTCCAAACCATATTACTTAACAGCAAAGTTTGCTAAACGTTAGCAAACTTCTCATAGAAGTATGTAGATTATACACGTTAGGCACTAGGAACTGACCACGCGCAATGATTGAAGCTTTTTTCACATTCAAAGACTTACTCGACTTGACCTATCATAGACACACCTGGCACAATAATTTGGTTCACGCGACCATACACATTTATCCGCTTGGCCTCGATTCATTACACGGTGGTCCACTAGTCTGATACCACCCAGTACGACAAAGATCCTGAATGAAGCAGACGACGCCCATCTAGGAAATGCCCGTATGTATGTGACTTCTATGCACCACCTAGTGCCTAATGCATCTAGCCGTGTGTGGGCCCCGAAAAATTAAACTGACGAATACTCTGTACGCTCTTTGAAATCCTAATCTTCAGTGCACTTGCAGTAGCTAACATAAGCCCAAGGGAATGTTGGCTACAGTAACTGGCAGTTCCCAATGAGTAATTCATCTGGTTACACGGATATAAAAGCCGTAGACTTGGGGATCCCATTTGGAGTTACAACGATGGTTACTTGTCTTGCAAGTGTCGCGCTCTCAATAATGCTGTTTTCAGGTAAGCAATTCGGTGATTCTTACTGACTGCGTAGCTTGATGTGATGTGTTGACGTAAGAATACTAATTAACCTGTAGTATAAGCTTTTTCCTTCAGTATTAAAGCACAGCCCAGTAGTGCAAGTATTCAAGCTGAAAATAGTGTGTCCAATCTCACTTGCGATCCTAGCGTTCATATTTATCATTGTGTATAACGAAGGGGAAAGCGGATCTGACCGTCTTGATTTCCATCAATACATGTCAGTAAACCAACGATTTTGATTCCATTGCAGTTGTTTTTCCTTGCGTCCCTGTTCGGGCAGAGGAAGGTGAGCGAAAACATTGAATCAAGAGAAGCGTAAATTTTTTCGAACGATAGTTGATAAGCATTTTGTTTATGGCGAGCAAAACATTGCAGTCATATGCCTCATATAAATCAAGCGCAAGATCAGATGAAGCCGCGTATCTTAATGCAAAACCTGTTTATAACAAAATAGTGAAATATTTTGTAATTCCTACCATGATAATAGCAATACGTTTCGTGATAATTGAGCTAAGTATAAGTCAACTAATGTTCCATTGCTGTCTACCGAAAAAATTTAAGAGGACAACATTCTTACACGAATGCAGTAACCGAACACCAACAAAATGTTTTATGTGTAAATATCAGTGATATATGATAAGCTGTTTACTTTGAAAAGTATGGATGTTGACCGGTTTTGATTTTTCATATGTATAGATGATAAAATAGTAAATACATACGTAAATATTTTTTTCTTATTCCCGGTATTGCTAGCAAAGCCTGCACAGGCATTATCCTGGTAATACAAACAGGATTGATAGAAGATTGTACAAAAATGTTAATTTACATATAATGTACTTGCTCTATGTGCGTGTGTGTATAATAATGTAGGCTGGTATGAATTCACGTAGCAATGTTACCTGAATGTTTTAATTTGACGATGGGGTTGGTGTTGTGTTTACTCAGGCGGCTGTCATGAGGAAGATCCTAAAGCGCCATTCAGTTGGGAAGACTGACTTTATGCTGTGCGGAAAATGATCGGGATAAGTGAAGGGCAGTGCATTTATTTAGTAACGAGTCACCTCCTCCACTGTCGTAGTGTTTTGGGGCAGACATTTTACATTTGTTTGGCAGAACGCTTGCTAACGCAACCCAACAGGTCCTGTAAGACTGCCGCCGAACCATTCGTTGAAATGGTAAATAACCGGAGCACACATGGGAGGTTGATCGGCGATCCAGCTCGACAGATCTATCAACTGCCATTTCAATACCACTAGGAGTGATTGTGAAACTTCGGGTAACATGGCCACAAAGTCCTAATTCAAAAAGCGAACGACAATGCCATTTTGCAGCTTTTTGCACCTGATGCGAAAATTCTGTCATTAAAAGTGTTGCTGCACATACACGCATTTATTACTACGGGAAATTGTGTAGGCCGAACCAACAACCACCAAGCATAGAAGCAACTGCGCCACATGAGGTAAACTGACAGTTAACGCAAATTTTATTTCTCAAGTTGGAGGTAGAAAATGCAGATTAACGGTCTTAAGTTAACCGACAGATATTTGTAAATACATGTGACCTGAAAGTATTCCAAAGCTTTGATATTTTATATTTTTCAAGAATATTGCAGGTATTCTCGTAATAGAAAGTTCTAATCAGATAGTTTGATGGATACCAGTTCCACAAATAAAATAGCGAAAAAATAATTTGTGACCACGTAGCAAATACAGGCAAATAGTTGGTTCACTAAGATAAACTGCTACTTACGGATAGCATTTTATAATGATGCTAAAATCACCTATGTCATTCAGGTTATTATCCTTTCACTACCATCGTGGACACGAATTCAGATACGGAAAAGGATTACTGTAGTCCATATTTCTAAATAACATGAAACTCACAATTTTCGCCCATTCTGGCACTAACTCCAAGTAGACACTGCTATTCATGAAGTCTATAAATAAGTACTTTGTTAGATACCATAACAAGTCAACAGATTTGCCTTCCGAAGGAAAGTTTGCAGACGCACCACTAAAGTAGCCGGGTAAAAATGTCTGTTTGATTCAAGCTTTAAAAATTTAAAATTACGATAATTTATTTAAACTCATGTAATTCTCCATGTTTTTGTGTTCCGAATTGTGGCGGGAGGTACTTTCACACTAGATTTCTTGCAATTGCTAATAAAACGATGTTGGGGTGACGTATTAAATGCGAGTTCCTTTTTAAGATGAAAAGTTATATGAATTGCCAGAGCTATTTAACTTACAACATTCATTCCTTTTTCCAGTATAGGGAAATGTTTTACTCATGGAAGTAAACCTAGAAATTGCTTGGTAAATGAATTATAAAACCGGGTATCTCTCTGACTTCAATAAATCCCTACTCAGGGCACAGTGTAACCAAATGCGCAGCCAGTGGAATATTTATACTACCTTTCATTCCAGAATTCAATGGGGAATAAAATGGATAGCTAACACATTTTTGATGTGGAAACATTATAATGAACATGATGACATATAGTTCACGTTTAAACGAGTTTTCGTTTGAAAGAGTCAGACGGACAAAAGCGGCCCAATATAGAAGCCACCGTTGCTACTAACATTTTGATACCCCGATAGTAACAAACACATACACCCTGGATTTGAATTTTAACTTTCTCGAATTTGGAAGTTTGGGGCTCGGATTCCCCCAAAAAACACCCTGCGCTATTGGTTTTGTTCCGGATTAGAGTATTCATGTGTAGATACTTGAAGCAAGGAACAAGTCTGATTTTAACGGTGTACGGATAGCAAGTTCATATGCAAGATTACTTCACCCTTAACGAGTTCAGTTCGAAGAGAATCCTAAGTGAAGAATCGCAGTCCACATTGAGATTGCGCGTCGAAACCTCCTCACATAACTTTTAACCCAAATTGAGCCTCCAGTAAACAGGGCGATGTTCCTATACTTTAGCTTATAAAGCAAAACATTAATTATTCTCAAGTGTTTGTTAACTTATCATCTTGAGGGTGTTTCTACATATTTTTATATGACAGAAGCCGAGGAGAAAATACCGGATGAATCAAAAAGTAAGCGAATAACAATCATAAGCTTCCATACGTATATCCAAAATCTACGTAGAAAACTTAGAAACTTCCAATACCGTTTCGTTCTACCTTTGTGGATGTTTAAAATACCAAACATCGTACTATTATTGTTTTGATAGAAAAGCAGAGTTTTTCTAGTACCATCTTGACTACCAAGTCACGTTTTCTTTATTTGAATCTTCCTTAGTACATAAATAGGAATAATAGCTCAAAGTTCTGTGAACTTCATGCAGTAACTTTATGTGAAACGTTTATGACTCCTCAGTAATTTGAATCGAAATGGTATACAAAAAGAAGTGTGGTATACACTGAGATTACCCACCGCATTACACTCACAAAATAAGTGTTTTATTAGGGTCGCTACCTTCCTCATCCGATATTCGAAGTGCAAATACTGCTACGTATTTTGGCTCGGAAGCAAAAAGAGATATGTTTGAGACTCATTTCAATTACTGGCCGAAAACATGCATGTCGGTGAACATTTCATGGGTGGGCTGCTGACCACAGATTTCTAACCTGCACATACGGATCTGGTCCGTACACTTAGGAAAAATGATATGTTAGGTAATTTCATAAGTACGCCAGCTAAATTAGGCGCACAGCTCAGTTAGTAACTTGCTAACGCAAACTGCTAAATAAGGTACATCCTGAGACACATATTTCCAGTCAGTCGGGTGAAGACGTGGTAACGATAGAAGAATGGTCGACAGTGGTTCGAATACCTTGAACGAAAACGCTCATCTTCCAAACTGGACATATACTGTAGGAAAATGACTGTATTATTTATACTAAATTTGGCTTATTGTGTATAGCTCAGCGTGAGAAGAGAAGGCATACTGTGCTTTGTGTCCAGAAAATACTTGCGAAAGTTTCATTATAAAATGGTAGTAGATAAACGAGGAAAGATTACACTTTCAAAATTGGATTAGCACTATCCGGCATGTGGCTGGTTTGCGCCGTGCAATAATTCTTCGAAAATTAGTGCACTTTGAAGTTGACCTCGGTGTTTCCGATACCCATGGCCGTATAGGAAATGGAGGGTTTTGGTGTTGATTCCTCCAAAACGGACGCTTTACCACCGAGTTCGCGTTTTGTGATTGCGAGTCGAAACCTCCTCACAAACTCTTACCTCATATTTAGCCCTCATCAACAGTACGATATTCCTATACGTTACCTAACACAGCAAATATGCATCATTCGCAAATGTTTGTTAAATTATCACCTTGATGGTGTTTCTAAATATTTTTATAAAACAGAAGCCGAAGAGGAAATACCGGAAGAGTCAAAAAGTAAGCGAATAACAATCATAAACTTTCATACGCCTCTCCAAAATCTAAGTACGAAATTTAGAAACTTCCAGTATCCTTTCGTTCTAGCTTTGTAGATGTTTGAGCTGCCAAACATCGTACTATTGGTGTTTTTGATAGTAAGCAGAAGTTGCTTATTACCATCCCGACGACAACGTCACGGTTTCATCATCCAAATCTCCCTGTGTTCATAAATAGCAAAAATAGTTTGAAGTTCTGCGAACGTCATTCAGTAAAGTTACGAGAAACGTTTATGACTTGTCAGTAAGTGGAATAGTAATGGTATACCAAAAGTATTGTGGTATACACTGGGAATAACTAGAATAATACACCCACAAAATAGGTGTTTTACTAAGGCCGCTGCTTTCCTCATCTCATGTTCGAAGTGCAAATACTGCAATATATTTTGGCTCGGAAGCAGAAAGATATATGTTGGAGACTTATTTTAATTACTCGCTGAAAACATGAATGTCCATGAATATTTTATATTTGGGCTGCAGGCCAAAGACATCTAACGTGCACATAATGGAAATCTAACTATTTATACAGCTAGCTGGATCTCGTCCGTATACTTAGGAAACATGATATGTTTGGTCAATTCCCTATTTCCACCCTCTACATTAGGCGCACATATCAATTAATAACTTGATAAGGCGAACGGCTAAAAAGGTACACTCCGACACTCATACTTCCAAACGGTCTGGTGACGATGTGGTAACGACGGAAGCACGTTTGACAGTGTTTCGAATAGCTTGAAATGAATATGCTCCTATTTGTAACTGGACAAATGCTGTACGCAAACACGCTATAATATTTATATGAAATCCCGCATTTTTGCATATGGCTTAGCGTGAGAAGAGAAGGCACATTGTGCGTTGTATCCAGACAAAACCTGCGCAATTTTAATTGTACTGAGGTACTAGATACATGAGGCGCGATTGAAAGCTCAAAATTGGACTAGCACTATCCGGCATACGAATGGTTTGCGACATGCCATCATTATTAGAAAATTGGTGTACTATGAAGTTGACCACGGTGTTTCCGATACCCATGGCCGTATAGGAAATGGAGGGTTTTGGTGTTGATTCCTCCAAATCAGACGCTTTACCACCGAGTTCGCGTTTTGTGGTTGCGAGTCGAAACCTGCTCACATAACTCTTACCTCATATTTAGCCCCCAGTCAACAGTACGATGTTCCTATACGTTGCCTAACACAGCAAATATTCATTATTCGCGAAAGTTTGTTAAATTATCACCTTGATGGTGTTTCTAAATATTTTTATAAAACAGAAGCCGAAGAGGAAATACCGGAAGAGTCAAAAAGTAAGCGAATAACAATCATAAACTTTCATACGCCTCTCCAAAATCTAAGTACGAAATTTAGAAACTTCCAGTATCCTTTCGTTCTAGCTTTGTAGATGTTTGAGCTGCCAAACATCGTACTATTGGTGTTTTTGATAGTAAAGCAGAAGTTCCTTATTACCATCCCGACGACAACGTCACGTTTTCATCATCCAAATCTCCCTGTGTTCATAAATAGCAAAAATAGTTTGAAGTTCTGCGAACGTCATTCAGTAGAGTTACGAGAAACGTTTATGACTTGTCAGTAAGTGGAATAGTAATGGTATACCAAAAGTATTGTGGTATACACTGGGAATAACTAGAATAATACACCCACAAAATAGGTGTTTTACTAAGGCCGCTGCTTTCCTCATCTCATGTTCGAAGTGCAAATACTGCAATATATTTTGGCTCGGAAGCAGAAAGATATATGTTGAAGACTTATTTTAATTACTCGCTGAAAACATGAATGTCCATGAACATTTTATATTTGGGCTGCAGGCCAAAGACATCTAACGTGCACATAATGGAAATCTAACCTTTTATACAGCTAGCTGGATCTCGTCCGTATACTTAGGAAACATGATAAGTTTGGTCAATTCCGTATTTCCACCCTCTACATTAGGCGCACACGTCAATTAATAACTTGATAAGGCGAACGGCTAAAAAGGTACACTCCGACACTCATATTTCCAATCGGTCTGGTGACGATGTGGTAACGACGGAAGCACGTTCGACAGTGTTCCGAATAGTTTGAAATGAATATGCTCCTATTTGTAACTGGACAAATGCTGTACGCAAACAGGCTATAATATGTATATGAAATCCCGCATTTTTGCATATGGCTTAGCGTGAGAAGGAAAGGCACATTGTGCGTTGTATCCAGACAAAACCTGCGCAATTTTAATTGTACTGAGGTACTAGATAAATGAGGCGCGATTGAAAGCTCAAAATTGGATTAGCACTATCCGGCATACGAATGGTTTGCGACATGCCATCATTATTAGAAAATTGGTGTACTTTGAAGTTGACCTCGGTGTTTCCGATACCCATGGCCGTATAGGAAATGGAGGGTTTTGCTTTTGATTTCTTCAAAATGACGCTCTAACACCGAGTTCGAGTTTTGGGCTCATCAGGTAGAAATGGCTTAGGCTGATAGTGGAATTCGGGGCTTAATGGCGGACATTTTAATCAGCAAGCAACCAAGATCCTTGTTCAATGACATAATGGATCTTAAGTTTACGACGTTTGGATGGATCTTGATGTGGTTTTGTTGGATACTGAAAAGCATTAACTATGGAGAATTCGGAGTAGTTGCAAATTGGCCAATTCTTTACTATCAACTGGACGGTATAAGAAATGAGGGGGTTTCATGGCTTGAAACATCAATACCGAATCCATCCATACGAACGCTTTAACTTGTAAACAAAATCTTTGATGACTTAAATGACTATTTTAAGTAAATAATGGATTAGAAAATTAAAGCGGAAAGCTCTCAGAAATATGCCGTATTGCAAGCAGCATTTAAATTAAGTGCTTCCTGAACCACCAGTATGTGCGATTAAAAACGCAAAGGGACCTATGTCTCTAGTTAGTTCAAACGTATACAATTTAGATAGCAACACGCTGTACATTTCGTGTGAATCTGAGTGCGTTGAATCGGTTGAAAGTTTTGTGTTCTCTGATTGTTTTGTAGTGGGATTACGTTCCCATAAACATCATTCCTTATCAGTGTGCGCACACATATGATAGCGTCACAGATACGTGAGGCAATAGTGAACCTAAGATAAAGATTCGTTCCGTAAGCAGTTGAACAAAATGAAGTGTATATCTTTCAGCAACTCATACATGCCATAGAATGGGAAGTATTTAATTCACGTAACCACAATTCCATCTGGGTTGTATGCGTTGTTAAGATAACGGTAATAACTGAACAAGTTTGGTAGGTTTTACATATGTTACCGCAGCATGAATTACTAAGCATTTCTATTCACTGTAATCTAGCTTAACGCTAAGGAAGACTGAGCACATTGTCAGAACTTTGTCGTAGAACCTCCATGCAAATAAGAAAGATCATATCGTAAATTGAAACATAAAGCTATTGTATTTTGTTCTAGATGCCAGAAATAACTGCACGTCCGCTGCATCATCTCATATAAAATATACAAACACATTGTGCACTATAGCCATGGATGAATAAGTTACGTAAACGTTAATTCAATTACCTTACCTCATTATGAGATTATGCTGGAAATATCACAGTGCTCATGTACCTGTTACGATATCGCTTCAAATTGAAGTGAACCGTATCTTCATGCACAATTCCTTATTTTGAAACCACTTTTTACACAGAGGAAAGAAGACACTCGAGAAAGGAGTGTAAAAGTATGTCTTGGCCTGAACTAAACAACAACACTTGCTACTTCTATTAAACATCGGCTCTAATAGTCAATTGGTGCAAGTTTTCCAACAGTAGCAATTAAATAATTATAAAAATGGGAGCAACGTTGTTATTCAAGGCGTCCCTATCGATTTGTTTATGAGTTGGACCTAACACCAGCTTCTACAAAATGTTTACAGAGGCATGCAGAAAGAAATGCAAAGAGTGCAAGGGTGAGTCGGTCGATTTTACATTCGCCAGCGTTGTCGTACGTTTCGCAATATCAATTTCATAGATATTTTACTTCTGTGTCTAATCACTTTGTAATTTGCTAAGGCAACATATGAGTCAAATCATTTGAACTATACACTGGCATAAGTATCGCTCTTAACAAAATAACTTGCATGTACGCCAAAAACAGGTGTTCTCGTAGTTGACGGATGAAGTTATCAGTGGTATTCATACAATCATAATTCATATAGTTCTAAGTTGTTGATGATAGTACTTGATGTTAATTGGGTGTGAAAATGTAACGAATATTCTTGGTAAAAACATTAAAAATAATGCACAACCCAATCAGTTTGAAGAGTGGCAGAAAGCATTTGCGTACTTTTATGACCAACAAATCTTCTTCACTAACAACTAATATGGTTCAATAAAGTATGATTAGCTCTCAATGGTATGCAAAATTGCAGCTTCCTATGGCAAGGCTGGCCGTTTGCGGTTAACCTCTTACCAACCTCTGAACATCCCGGGGTGTTATTCTGATGATCAGATAATTATTAATAATGTGTGATAAAACAAATTAAGGAGACTTAGATAAGATAAAAATATTCTTCACTTTCATGGTACATAATTCCTTATAGATATATACAAGAATTAAAAATTCCTGGGCGAAGTTCTGTTAAGGAATCAAGGTACAGCTGTCAAACTAAACACAAGAATTATTGTTACCTTGAGCAAAACGACACCTAAACACCAGCGAAAATCCTAACATTTTTTGCGCCCTTTTTGATTTACAAGGTAGCTTTTTCCTATTCACAGACCTCGAATAAGTGTAAGTTGCTTTAGACCAACTGCGGTGAAGAAATACCCTTGATGTTGTTTTCAAGGTCTTCTTCACTGTAATTTGACTAAAGCAAGTTATACTTCATCTGAGTCATTTTGAACTGGATGGAAGTCATTCCTATTTGTGTGATTTGCTCAATTATACGCTGCTTAGTCAGTGTCAATTTTTCGATTTTGATTCCTCCTAAATACTATGTTGATGTTTTGATATTCCCGATGTGGCTGCGCTTGGTGTGAATTTTGACAAATTGCCTACCTGTAGAATAGTCTTCTTCTCGATTACTCGCTCCAGCACATTGAGTCTTTCTTGGGATAAACAATCCCATTGGCTGCGCTAGACTCAATGGTTGTTGCATCCAGTGTGGAGCGAACTGTGGCCCAAGCATCGCCTTGTGTACGCCTGGTACGCATGTATTCTTATATAGATAGAGAGGAATGCTGCTGCTGTGCATCTTGATTGATTGCGGGAAGGCTCCATGGATGAAATGTGGCTCCGATCCACCTACCTCTCGGTATTATTCTTTCTGGTTTTTCACTGCAGATGTGGTGGTGCACCGAAAGCCACCCATGGTCCCTGTAGATGCAAGCATTCTGTGGCTGTCCTAAGGAGGCCACAGTGACAGGCCAGTCCGAAACCGGATACTGCCAAAAATTACCATTACGTTTCGCCATTACCGTACAACGTTAACGTGATGAAGCTATTGCTTCAAGGGCGAAAGGAAGCCGTGATACCATATCTCGAACAATGGATATGATTATGAATTATGAATTCTTAGCCGGTTCTTAGTTTATTCAAAAATCAAATTTAACTTCTTAAATGTAACTGATATATTTCTGTAACTTACAGTATTTGACTTGCAGTTAATTCTTTACTAATTCGTTTGGTGTACTACCACATTTTCGAGAGTCCGTTTGCGAATTGTATTGGCAAATTGAAAAACCACGAACATCTAATTTTGTTAGCTACATTTTGCATTTAAATATGCATATGAAGCAGTCAAAATGGATGCGCACATTTTTTGGCGGATCCCATTAAATAATTTAGTAAAGTCTCCTGGATGTTGTACTACACTCTGGATAATCTTATTGCAACCATACTCATCCTACGCACAGAGAAGTGCAGAAAACGAAGCTGAATGAGTAAGTCTATTAAGATTGAAGTCATGCGAATTTTATGTCCTGTTTTGAAAGTTAACGCTTCACTTATTGGGATGAAATACCACACGAAAACACAGCTGTGATTTTCTACGGAACTATGATTTTCATAAACTATTTAGTCTAGATACAGAATTGCCTTCGAATAACCAGCAAAGCATTCTTCATACTCGTGCAACATAACTTGCTATTACTGTCTGACTGGTGGTATAAGCTTATCGATCTAAGACTTTATCCACAACTATCAGTTCATACCAGCGAAGTGGTAAGTAGTTTTGATACCAATGCCATCTATTCTCCACTTACAAGAATAACACAAAGGTTACTTCAGAGCTATCGATTATGTGTGTTGATTTAGTGTTAGCAATGAACTACTGAACTTAGCAGTTTTGGCAATAATTATTCAAGTCGCAAATATCCCAATGCTATGTATACCTGCAACATCCCTCAGTTAATAACCCGTGTGACTGTCACAACATTCCGACTTTATTTTCGTCTTATTTCAGAATATCTGCATAACTGGTACCGCGTGTGCCAGCATATTAATGGTATGCGTTGCAATTTACCTCATCTAAATACCACGAAAAACCTTTATAATTCAAATCCATGATTTACCTTAGTTGTATAAAGTGGTGCATAAAAGTTTACTGGATTCAATAACTGAGCCTTGGTTGCAAAGTGAAATATATGTAAACAGTTAGTTATTATTATATAACTAAGTTTTCTTCTTAAAAATACACAATTGGCTACCAGTAAGTGACAAAGATAATCTAGACGGTAAATATATATAGCACTGGTCTGAACAGATGATTTAAATAAGCTGAGATTTTAACAAGATGTGATAGCCACTAAAAGCTACGAAAGAAAAACCGTGGTGTTGTTTCACCGCTCATGGGTACTGTGACTGCAGTAATTGTTGTCAATTGGTGTGCTAATAAAAGCTGAGCTCTGAAAATAAGGGGCAGTGGACTCAATAAACTGTACTGAGGTGGCATGGGTTCTACATTATTGATTATAAAACAAAAAGAAAACCAGTATCATTGTAATTTATTGGAGTAACTCGCAATTACACAAAAATAGAGCTTAGTTGATTCCCTCCACACAGGAAATATATGGCCCCTTCAAATGTTGCATCCTGATATCTATGTTTTAAGAATTAGCATCCATGACTAAACAGAATGTTGCATTGTAAACGGTAAGAAGAAATTGAAACATAGTCAGTTTATCAAATAATTCAACGATTTTAAATGTGGCCCATTACTTACATATTACGGACGAGTGTGGCTATTTAAGTAGTTTGTGTGCTACTTTATGTGAATATGTATATATATATATATATATATATATATATATAAAACAAGGTTGTTCTCTGACTCATGTTGCTGACAACAATTATTGGTCATCAGTGCCCATGGAGCAGACAGGTCACAATAACCA